TAAACTGTGAACCGTATGTTTCACCATGATATGATCAATCCAAAAGCAGATAAAATCTTTGATCCTTTCCTGTTGGCTAATGCCTGTAGCCGGCGAGAACTGACAAGTACAATTAGAAAGACTCCTAAATTATAACCTAGTTTTAGTGATCCATTCATTGTAGGAACAGGAAGGATTAAACAATCCCAGTTCTGTTGTACGCGGTAAATTGCAAAAACCACCAGTTTGAAGGCTAGGTTTGCGAAAATCACTACAATACTTTTTTTTTTTGCAGAAAACATCATGTCTTCAGTAATCTTTTTGCAGAAAACACTGATTGGCGGATCGGGGTCAGTTAAGCTAGTTTATGACAGATGGGTTCCGTTTTCTGCTTACGTGGCATAACTTTTCATGCAAAATGGATTTTTATCTATATTTACAAACTAGTCCCAACAATTTTATATGGACACCCCTTAATCAAAAAACGAAAACGCAACTAGGTCCCCGTGTGCAGAAAACCGGCAGCACAGCGCCCATGGCTCACGGGATGCCCATGGGTCTCGTCGCCGGCGAGAGGGTGGCCATCGGGGTATGGGAACAGAACAAGACGCCCATGAGGCTTAGAGCATCGTCTGGAGCGCAACCACCTCGAGCTCCTCGGCCGGCCAACTGCAGCTCATCGAGGACGCGGCCTCCACGACGAGCTCTTCTTCGCGGACGGTGTGGCAGCGTCGGCGCCTCTTCTTCGCGGGCAGAGATGGCCGTCGCGGGCGGCGTGGCCGTCGCAGGCCCGCAGAGATGGTCGTCGCGGGCGGCGTGGCCGTCGCAGGCCCGCAGAGATGGTCGTCGCGGCCTGGTGCCGCCCCATGACTGACAGGGCTGTGGATGCTATTGCCCCACGCGCTCACCACGCTGATCTGGCCGAGGCATTCCTGCCAGATCCGGTGCCGGGCGGGGACATTGGAGGCCGATTTGACCGGATCCGGTGACGGGCGACGACGGCGGTGACCTGCATCCTGGGGAGGGAGCGGCGGCGGCCTGCATCCTGCGGAGGGAGGCGGCGGCGGCTTGCGTCCTACGGAGGGAGGCGATGGCTGCGGCCGTGGAGGTAGAGGCGGTGGCCCGCGTCCTGCGTAGGGAGCGTCGGCGGCCGTGGAGGGAGTAGTGGCGGAGTCCTGCGTCGTGCGGAGGGAGGCGCGGCGGTGGCCCGTGCAGGGAGCAGCGGCGGGAATGCTATTCGGCTGCGGAGCCCATGGGAAGGGTCTGGGTTGCATGGGGAAAAAAGTTGAGAGACATTTTTGCTTTAAACCCAAACCGTTACGCCACGTAAGCAAAAATAGGGACCCATCTATCATAAACGCGCTCAAACGACTCTAATCCGTCAATCAGTGGTTTTTGAAAAAAAAATACTGAAGACATGGTGTTTTCTGCAAAAAAAATGTATTGTAGTGGTTTTCGCAAACCTAACCTTCAAACTGGTGGTTTTCTGCAATTTACTCGTTGTATGCACAAAATAAAGACGAGTGCATAGAAGCGAACAAGGGACGGAGTAAAGATTGTGCATGATGTGGTGTGGACTCGTGGAGTCGAAACCCAAAAGCTGGCATTATCGGCCTGTTTGGTTTGTGACTATATTTATCATATGTTGCCACATTATTTTTGTCACACTTGCCTAAGTTAAGATTCTTAGTCATACTTTGGCTTGCCTTAAGAAATCTTGCTACATTTTTTGTGTGAATGTCATATGGGACATATTGCTTATAAAATAATTCCAAAAATGACACACGTACGAGTAGTCTACGTAAAACTTACAAGTCAACTAATAATCTCCCTGAATTTAATGGGTGGGGCCTGGGACATTTTTTCTTCCAATTAAATTATGCCAAGTCAACTTCGTTTCCTAGTCAGTACGTAAAATCACATAAGTCTATGTAGGTGTAGCAAATCTCAAATAATCTTTATCTTAGGTGTGGTTAGAATCAAACAGACAAACACACACCTAACTTGAAATTTTTCTAACTTGAGGTGTGGCAAAGTGTGGTAAGATGTGAATAGAAACTAAACAACCCCTATGATACCAAGTTTTCGTGCACTCAACAGTAGAGTGCAATGGAGTAACGGAGGGAGAATTCCATACCATATCCATTGTCGGAACCACTGATAACCTAACACTTTTTTTGCGGGGAATCTAACACATGCCATACTCTTTTTTAAGCCACTTTCATGGCTAGGGATAAACATGATAAGCAAGACTAAAAACATCATAAGCAAATGTTCTTCGAGACGACAAATGGGGGTTTATTGATGTATCTAACAACGACTTGAGTATGTTGGCGATGCATCATGGCAGAGGCCTGTGCACTCAGAAACAGACTACTTCCGACCACAATTGGACTACATGGAACATGGAAGTGATCAACACGATGCAGGAGGGGGGCTTCACAACCTCGGGAGCGGCCACCATGGTGCAGATTGTATCATCCTTTCTTCAAGACATGCTTTGGTTTCATTCCTTCACTGTGTAAGAGAGGTAAATGTTGTCTCTCATAAACTAACTCCGCTAGCCGTCTCGACACCAACATCTTTGTAGTTAGAGGAGGCGTCGACATCTCTTGTAAAGCGAAAATTCTATACCCACGGAGCTTTACGGGGCTTTTACAAATCTCTAATTAAATTAGCCCAACTAAGCAGCCTCGTAAACCCCGCTAGCATAATGCTCGTGTGTGTAGCATTGCTTCTTGTAAAGTGCCTGGTGGATGATGTACTAACTTCTTTTTTTTGCGGGAAAGGTGGATGATGTAACTGTTCTTTAATCTGACAAAGTTAGCACCTAAGTTTCAAAGAAGAAAAAAGACAAGCACACGTAGTTCCACACACGCGCGCGCATAGCACAGAAAAAAAAAATTAGGAGACTACTTCCTTCCGTGGATCTTATTATACAATCACGTAGCAGTACTCACGTAGCATCAAACGTTGAGGAGTTCGAGATCCAACCCAACACAAAAAGGGGAAACATATCGAGGCGTTGCACTTGCACGCATGTCATTTGTGCGTGTGTATGAAGGCCACTGCTACGCGTCATCCGGATGATATTTGCTGAATTTAGGCCGCTAGCCAGCCTTGCGATCCAGCCTATCGAACGGTCCCAACTTCCCCGCTGCAGTACTGCCCCGCTGACGGACGCATCACGTGAGATGGGCTGGGTTGGGCCACACGTTTTTTGCACTCACACACATACGTCAACTCTGCATGGCAATACATCCAAAAGAAAAGAACGTACACAGGTGACCATCCAATGGTGGTCTAGTTGTTGTGGGCGTAGTGTGTGAGCGTGAGCAGTGCTTGGACGCTGGACAGCGGCAGCCCGACTGCTTCGATAGCGGCAGCGATCCTACGAGGCATGCTGCGACGAAAGCCTGTCCGCTTCAACGATGTTCCAACAACATGCTTCGACGGTCACCGCGATGGCGCGAGGGCACAACATGCTTCGACGGTCGCCGCGATGGCGCGAGGGCGTGCTTCGGTGGCCGTGGTGATGCTGCAATATCACCCCGGCTGCTTCGAGGATGTTGCGACGACACGCTTTGATGGCTGCGGTGTGCATCGACGGATGCGGCGATGTTACGACGACAACTTGTCTGCTTTAAGGATGTTGCGACATCATGCTTCGACGGCCACGACGGGTGCTTCGGTAGCCACGGCGATGCTACATTGGCAACATGTTTGCTTCAAGGATGTTGCGAGAGCAGGCTTCGACGGCCATAGCGGGTGCTTTGGTAGCTGCGGCGATGCTACAAAGGCAACACGTCAGTTTCAAGGATGTTGCGACGGTATTCCTCGAAGGCCATGATGGCTGCTTCGATAGCTACGGCGATGCTACGAAGGCAACACGTCTGTTTCAAGGATGTTGCGACGGTATTCCTCGAAGGCCATGATGGGTGCTTCGGTAGCTACGGCGATGCTACGAAGGCAACACGTCTGTTTCAAGGATGATGCGACGGTATTCCTTGAAGGCCACGAGAGTGCTTCGATAGCTGCGGTGATGCTATGACTGCAACCCGGCTGCTTCAAGGATGTTGTGACAACATGCTTTGACGGTCACGATGAGTGCTTCGGTAGCTGCGGTGATGCTACGACGGCAACCCGGCTGCTTCGATGATGTTGCGATGGCGTGCTTCGACAGTTGTGGCAATGATGCGACGAACCGCAACGACGACGTGCTTCGAACGGTCACGGTGGTGCTGCGACGGCGTGCTTCGATGACCACAACGATAATCCAACAAAGGCCCGACTACTTCGACGATGCTGCGACGGCGTGCTTCCGTACCGTGGCTACGAAGACGGCATGGCTCTTTTGACGATGCTACGATGGTAGCTCGGCTGCTCCGATGATGATGCAATGATATCTATGCTACTGCGGCAGCAGCGGCGGCATAAGGATACTACCCTTTTTCTTTTTGCGAAATTAAGGATACTACCTTAAGCATTGCTATATCCAAGCAACCATGACACCATGAGCTTGCTAGGATAAAATCCAACAAATACCCACATTCAACATCAAGAATATGATGCTATGGAATCTTTGTTTGCTGCTTGCTAAGTGCTTTCTATTAAGATTATTTGTAGCATCACATACATGCATAGCTACATGGCTAAACACTGCGTGAGAAAGTACAAGTAGAATGGATTGTTAGACAGTCACGGAACGCAACCACGGCAAAAAGAAAAGAAAAAAAGTCAGGCGCGCGTCTAGCTACTACGAGGGCTACGCGGTCACGTAGGTGGGCTGACT